AAGATACATACAGGCTGAAAGTGAAAGAACAGAAAAAAACATCCTGTGCAAATGAAAACAAAAGGAAAGCTGGTATAGCTATACTCATATCAGACAAAACAGACTTTAAAACAAAAACTATAAAAGAAAGATAACACATTATGATAAAGGGGTCAAGCTGATAGGAATGACATAAATATATAATCCAACTTGGAAATGTACAGTCACTCAACAAATAAGCACCTAAATATATAAAGTAAATATTAAAAGACCTAAAGGGAGAAATTGACAGCACCAAAATAATAGTAGGGAGCTTTAATACCTCATTAACATCAATGGACAAACTATCCAGGCAAATCAATTTTAAAACTTGGACTTAAAAATATAGTTGCTGACCTTTATATATATATTTGAAATGATCAATTCAATATCAGCAGAATACATATTTTTAAGTGCACATGGAATTTTGTCTAGGTTAGATCACATATTTAGCCAGAAAAAAAAAAAAGCCTCAAGAAATTGAAATAGATTGAAATTACATTGAGCATTTTTTTTCTGACCACAATACTCTAAAAGTAGAAATCAATTACAAGAAGAAAACTAAAAAAGTCAGCAATATAACATTAAACAATATAATACTGAGAGAAATCAAAGAGAAATCAGGAATTCCCAGAGACAAATTAAAGTAGAAAAACAGTGCTCCAAAATTTATGAAATGTAGGAAAATCAGTTCTAAGAGAGAAATTCATAGTAATATAGGCCTACCTCAAGACTAAGAACAACTGGAAATCAACAATCCATTCTTAAAATAAAGGAATTGAGAAAAACATGGAAAACAAATCCAAAGTTATTAGAAGGAAAGAAATAATAAATACCAGAGCAGAAATAAATAACATAGACACTACAAACAAAACAATAGAAATTAAACTAAAGACTGTTTTTCTTTTTTGGGGGGGAGAAGATAAAATCCACAGACATTTTCACCTAAGGAAAACAAAAAGAAAAAAAATCTCAAATAAATAAAGTAAGAAATGAAAAAAAGAATCACAATTCATATAGAAACACAAAAGACCCAGAATAGCCAAAGCAGGCTTGAGAAAGAAGAATGGAGCCAGAGGAATCCACCTTCCTTACTCCAGATTATACTACAAAGCTACAGTCATCAAGACAGTATGGTACTGGCACAAAAACAGAAATATTGACCAANTTTTTGCATGTCTTTTTCTTGGGGATGGTCTTGATCACTGCCTCCTGTACAATGTTAGGAACCTCCATCCATAGTTCTTCAGGCACTGTATCAGTTCTAATCCCTTGAATCTATTTGTCACTTCCACTGTATAATCATAAGGTCTTTGATCTAGGTCATACCTGAATTACCATATGTAAAATAGATTGCCAACTGTAATTTGCTGTATGTTGCAGGAAACTCAAACAGAGGCTCTGTATCAATCTAGCATGGTGGGATGGGGAGTGAGACAGGAGGGAGATTCAAGAGGGAGGAGATATATGCATACCTATGGCTGATTCATGTTGAGGTCTGATAGAAAACAACAAAATTATGTAAAACAATTATCCTTCAATTAAAAAATAAATTTAAAGGATGAAAGGAGAGATTGTTACAACTGATACGAGAGAAATGCATAGGATCATAAAATACTACTATATATAATTATACACTAACAAATTGACAACCTAAAAGAAGTGGATAAATTCTTTGAAAAAATAGAACAAATTATTATAAAATTTCTTTGGATCATAAAGACCTTGAATAGAGTAATCACTCTCAAGAGAGCAAAACAAAGCTGGAGGCATCATGCTTCCTGATTACAGACAATACTACACACCTATAGTAATAAAAAGAATATGGTCTTCCATGGAAACAGATACATATATCAATGGAAAAGAATAAAGAACCCAGAAATAAACTCACAGATAATAACATTAATAATAAAGGAGCCAAGAATACCCAATGGGGAAGAACCGTCCCTTAAATAAATTGTGTTGGGAAGATCAGCCAGCCATATACAAAAGATTGAAATTGGACCACTAGCTTACACCACACATAAAAATAAAGACAAAATGGATTTAAGACTTGTATGCGATGCCTGAAACCATAAAATCTTCTAGAAGAAAACATAGGTGGTAAGCTCCTTGAGTTTGAGCAAACTCCTGGAGATAGTGAATTAAAGGGAAGCCTGGCCTGCTGCAGTCCATGGGGTCACAGACACAACCAAGTGACTGAACAACAGCAAAACTTGATGTCACACTTTGTGTGGGCTTGTGGGCTCAGCCAAAATCAAAGGCCACCAAAGCAAAAGCAAGCAAGTAGAGTGCATTAAATAAAATGCTTCTGGACAGCAAAGGATACCATCTGCAAAATAAAGAACAAAACAAAACAAAACAACCTACTGAATGGCAGAAAATATTTGCAAACCATGTGCTTGGTAAGGAGTTAATATCCAAAAACATATCAATCCCTCAAACACCTCAATAGCAAAACAGCCAACAATCCAATCCAAAACATAGGTAGAGAATCCAAATAGATGTTTTTCCTAAGAAGACATTCAGACTGACAACAGCCACATAAAAAGATGTTCAACATCACTATCAGAGAAATGCAAATCAAAACCACAGTAAGACATCACCTCACACCTGTCAGAATGACAGCTACCAAAGCTACATGAAACAATAAGTACTAGAGAAGATGTGGAGGAAAGGGAAACCTTGTACACTGTTGGTAGAAATGTCAACTGGTGCAGCCAGTATGGAGATTACTCATAAAATTAAAAATAAAACTACCATATAACCCAGGTATTCCACTTCTGTGTACTTAACCTAAGAAAATGAACACAGTAATTCAAAAAGATATCTGTGTTTCTATGTTTAATACACCATTATTTATAATAATTAAGATATGGAAACTAATTACTGCCTATCTGTGGGTGAACGGATAATGATGTGATACATATATATTTGTATGTGTGTGCTCAGTTGCTCAGTTATGTCCAACTATTTGTGACTTGATGGACTGTAGCCCTACAGGCTCTTTTCTCCATGGGATCTTTTAGGCAAGAATACGTGAATGAGTTGCCATTTCCTCCACTAGGCAATCTTCCTGACCCAGGGACTGAATGCATATCTCCTGTCTCCTGCGTTGCAGGCAGATTCTTTACCTGCTGAGTGCTTCCCTCCAATGGCTCAGCAGTTTAAAAGTCCACCTGAGAAGCAGGGAACACGAGTTCAATCCCTGAGTCAGTACGATCCACTGGTATGAAAACCAACTCCAATATTCTTGCCAGAAAATCCCATGTTCAGAGGAGCCTGGTGGGCTGTGGTCCATGGGGTCACAAAGAGTTGGATGTAACTGAGGAGAGCTCTCTCTTTCTCTCCTTCTCACATACACACACAAATAGACACACAGAGAATACTATTCAGTCAAATATAAAGAAGAAAATGTCATTTTCTATAGCAGACCAAAGGGTGTTATGCTAAATGAAATAAATCAGACAATTTCACTTATATATGGAGTATAAAAAACAAAGCAAACATACAACACATACAACATACAACATACAAACATACAACACATACAACACAGAGGACAGATGGGCAGCTATCAGATTGGAAAGGGTACAAGAGTTGGGGAAACGAGTGAAGGGGGGTCACTTGTATGATGATGGATGATAACTAGACTTATTATGGTAATTGCTTTGTAATGTATACAAAGACTGATTTCTTTCTGGTTTACATGTGAAACAAATAAAATATTATATACCATTTTACCTCAATTAAAAAATAAACACACACAATAACCCATAACACAAACCTGAGATGATTTTGTCTAAGGCCTTGCCTCTTAAAAGATTTTGAATGGCCCTGAGATCATGGAACAAAGTGTCTTAGCATCTTGGCGAATTAAGCATTATTCTCCATATAACCTGAGGAAATTTCCCAGATATAAGCAAAGTTAGAAAAATTTTATCAAAATAAAAATTTACAAAATTGGAGGCATTTCTCTTTTGAAGCATTCAAAGACATTAAACAGGAATATTAGTAAAATGTAACAAATATGAGTGAATATCTTGCACCTGTGACTTAGGGATTCTTTATGAAGTAGCAAAGAATACGTGGATAGGTGATGGCTCTCTTAAGCGAGAGTAAAAATATATCTAAAATTTATGCACAAATACATCATTAAGGAAAAGGATTGGCCCAACTCATTTCTGCAGACATCCCATAACATATAGTTTTCACTTCTTTCCATCATCTAAGATGATGGTCACTTCTTCATGCTTGTTTTCAATAGACAACAGGGAAGGAAGAAATTACTTTCCTGCAGTTGTTCAGGTTTTGTCTCACAACTGGGACTGTACCCTATTGAATTTAGATTCTGAATCTCTATAAACAGTGTATAAAAAGGGATGAAAGCTGTATAAACAGTGATGAAATGTATCCCTCAATTCCAGGAAATAGACCATTTATTTATTTTACAATACGTATTGTTCTAATACATTATGAAGTATTTGAAGCTAAAAATGCCTTTACCCACTGTAACACTTCGGAAGCTACAGGCTGTTGCAACTCTATTAGCTAGTATATAGAGATTAAAAGAAAAGTAAAAGTGAAGTCGCTCAGTCATGTCCCACTCCTTGCCACCCCATGGACTGTAGCTCGCCAAGCTCCTCCATCCATGGGATTTTCCAGGCAAGAGTACTGGAGTGGGTTGCCATTTGATTAGTTGTTGGTAATTATAGAAATTCTTAGAGCCAGAACTTTATGATTTCAGTTGATGCAATTTCACCAACACAGTGGTATATAACATGCTTACCAAGCTTAAACAAGTGATTTTGATAGTTTTAAATAATCCATAAATGCCTTTGAGACAGTAGAATGGATATGGTAGTGTAATAATTCTATTCAATTGTAATATCTGATTTCATTAAGCTCCTCAGACTTCACAAGGTCTAGACTATATCACATGAAATACACAAATTATAGGCAACCTCTGTTTATGTACTCACATTGATGTCTTCCAAATCTAAGTTGTTCAGAATAATATTGTTCCTCTTCCAAATGATGGGGGGTCTCAGCGCTCCCTGAATGGCGCAGCTCAGAACGGTACTCTGCCCCACTGTTGCCGCTGTGACGCTTAGTTTCTGATCTTCAGGCAGACTCAACTGGATAACCTCTGAAAAGACAAAGTGTCAGCAATGTTGAGGAGCACGTAGTTTTGTAAAGTTAATTAGTATAAAGTTTCTAAGTACAACTAATTAAAGCTTTTAAACTGTATAAAATGGAGAAAAGCTTGTGATGAAATGAGAAAAAGAGTAAATTGTTTCCAATAAAAGGTCAGAATGACATTTCAGTTTCATTGATTGACAGGCATCCTCATGAGGCACAGAACTATTAAACATGAAATGAATATCAGAAGCGGAGTTATAATAAGCCTGGCAGATTGCACCCAGAAGAGAGATAAATTATTTAACTGCCAAATCGACATGTAGTGTGTCACCAGCATTGAAATAAAAATGATGTTGTTTATTCACTGATAGATTTATATTGTGGGTGAGGTGAGATCATTGCTGGCTGGCTTCAGAGCCATTGCTAGCATAGCTGAATGGGTAAAATGCATCATTATGCTGGGAAACATAAATTGACTCTAAAGGAGTAAGATTTATTTGGGAAGTTGAAGGAGGAAAAACTGAAGTTCACCACCCAAACAACAATTTCCTAAAATTCTGTTAGCTGCCTCTATCACACAGTGTGAGTACAGTAAAGCCATTTCCTTATTCATAAAATTTACATATATTTAAATAACCATTGAACACATTTCTAATTATAATGCTATAGCAGGAAATAGAATTTTAATCTGGATCTGCTTTCCTGTCCTGATTCTGGACAATCTTTACCAATGTTGGGAATGAACTGTGTCATTTCCAGCATCATCTATTATCAGGAGAGATGCCTGGGATAATCCCACCTGTCTTCATCCATATAACGATTGCCCTTTAGTTTTCAAATGACATTCATGGGCACGCTATCGTTTCTATGCTATGATGGAGTCTTGCATTTTGATTCTGCCCAGTCTCTTTCAGGAGAGAAAGAGCAAAATCACTATTCTCACTGAAATTTCTGTGGAAGTGGAGAGACTATAATTGTCTTTTGTTCTTTTGTTTCTGTTGATGATATTTTTTTATGATGGGGGAGTTGGCCGTCAAAAGTGGTGGCTTTTAATTTGCAATCAATATTATCAGGTACAATCAGTGCTGTCTCCTCCCTTTCTTTTCACCACTTGAACTTTTTCTTCTTTCTGAATCCTGTCTTCCTCTTAAAGAGGAAGGTAAATGCTAATCAAATGATTTTTATAGAAAGAGCCTGCTTGCAGGCCAATGCAGGAGACACAAGAGATGTGGGTTTTATCCCCGGGTCAGGAAGATTCCCTGGAGGAGGAAATGGCAACCCATTCCAGTAGTCTTGCCTGGGGAATCCTATGGACAGAGAAGTCTCCAGGGCTACAGCCCATGGGGTCACAAAGAGGCAGACAGGACAGAGGCGACTTAGCACACAGTGCATTCAACAAACAGTCCTTTGAATTTTTGGAACTATTAAAAATTATAACATCAAAAATAGCATATATCTTTGTCACAGAAGGCCAGAATTGAACATATTATCCCCTACTTACACTTGTTAAGTGTTGCTATATAGGATCTTGTCTTTAAACCTAAAAGTCATAGTTATTTAAGCCCTCATTATTTTGTGTTGTCAAAGAATGGAGTAGGCAATCTATGGAAATTGAAAAACCCTATGAGAAGAGACTCAGTCAAGTTTATTCTTCTGTTCATTACATCACTGAAACAAATGGGGGAAAAGTGTCTTGGCCAGTCATTTGTATTGACAATTTAATGTTTCTTAATGACATTTATCCATATTCACATTTTATTTCAATGTTCCCTGAGTAATAAGACCATAGGGAATATGTTCAATCATCTTTTCTCTAATATTCACTCTGTTGTACTTCTCTATAGATACATAATTATATAAAATCTCTAAAAGAAAATATATTTCACTAATTAGACACATGACATTTTTTATATTTGCAGACAGGGTATCTTTATGTCTTTTTATTTATATTACAAACTTAAAGGGAAGACAGAAAACTATAAAAGTAATAACATAATGTAGGGTACCACATAAGAATTATTAATAATTTTCATTAGCATTCCTGAATTTCAGTTTCTGGTTCCTCATAAAATCATGTACAAGATAATGAGACATCTGATTCTAAAAACAGCATGTTAACATTGGTTATTCTGACATTTAATAATAGAGTTGGTACTGAGTCACCTTGAAATATCTTCACTAAACTTTTGCATCTGGTATTAGGTCTTAGGCCATTCAAATAGTTGTGCTTTTGGTAGTTATATATTACAATGCTAATTAGATGACATGAATATCTTAAAATAAATGCTGAGATTTGGCATAACATTATGTAGGACATCCTTTTAAAATGTAATTTTTTGAGAGGTTGCCTAATTAAAATTAAGAATTACTATTCACCTGGGGAATATTAACATGAACAGGAAAAAAACTTTTATGTTAATTTGGAGATTATCTTTTTAAATGATTTTGAAAATTATCTCAGTAATATATGCTATTAATTAATATGCATTTTAAAAAGTCTTTAGACCTTTTTTGCTACAGGTTTCATGCTACACATTTCACCTTTTCCTTAATAATTATATTGAGCTACATTCACAAATATAATTATGTTTACAAGTTATTCTTCAAAATCAAGTGGTGCTTTCCTTAAGAAAATTTAGCTGCTAGCTTTCTTTTATTTACAAAATTGACATGCTCATCATTAATCATCTTTCTCTTAGCTATTATCAGACTAAGATTTAGTCTTAAAAAATCACAAATGTTTAATATTGTTATTCTTGTATTCTAATGTCTTTCAACATGCTTTTACATAAGTAAAATGTTTATAAAATATGTCACATTCATATATTTCATAGAGAAATGATGCTTATACCTAGAAATACACTAACAACCTGAAACAATAGTTATGAAACCAATTATGTGAGCCAATTTAAGATTGTATCTGAGTGTTTGTGTGTATGTTAGTGATCAGAGTTGTTAGTTTAGAAATAAGAATTTCAAAGAAAAAATGTTGAAAATTTAATTCTATATCAGTTATAATTAATATACAACTTTGTAGATATACATCAATGATAACTTTTTTTTTTTGCATTCTGTCCAGAAGTATCTTATGCAAGTTATGTACAGGCAAGTAACTGTTACGTGCAGTGGATAGCATCTTTAGCTCCAATGATAATTCACACTTGAAGGTCTTGTTTAAAATCATGCATCACATGACAAGAAGTCATTCAATGTCCTGACGAAAGGTAAAAGCACATAGGTTAGATATAACAGATGTTACTGAGCTTTTTGAAACATGTCAGTACTTTTTTTTTGACCTATAAGCTGGGCCTCTTATTGGAAACTGTCTCAAGAATTCAAACAAGAAACCAGAGCTCTAGTTGTGGTGTTTCCTCTGATCTTGTATTTTGAAGACTATCGATGCCATTTCCAGATCAGCTTCTTTTGTTTTCTTACTTGGAAAGGTTAACAGGCAATAAAATAGTTTTTCTATGGGTCTCTTTTTATACTTTCACAAATAGAGGAGTATAAAGTGTTTGTTTTCAAAGGAATGAAAAATTGAATTCTCCTCTAGCAGAACCTGAAGTAGGACAGACAAGAGCAGTTGAATACAACTTTAAACACTTTATTCCAATAGCAACTAGTTGATAGGAATAGCAGTAAGAACTATGGTAAAAATATTATGTAAACTTAAAGTAGTACAGAAAGGGAAGAAAATATTTTTAATATTTGTGAAACACCAGTTTATAAAAGAAGATCATTTTAGTAACTGAAAATCAATTCTGTGTATCATAATTTATCATAAACAGAATTCTGTTCTTCTTAACACCTACATCTTTTCAAGTTCTTAGGTATATACTTATGTTGAATATCTTATTTACTTTACTTAAATATTAGTCTCATAATTTGTTGAGATGATCATGCTTATAATTTCTGCTGTAGGAATGATACCTAGAAGATATTTTATCAGTGATATTTTCAAATAACATGTATTTTCCCTTCTCTGTTCCACTACAGAAATTATTAATTAATTAAAAGCAGATAATAATTAAAATTTAAAAAATCACAATAAAAGGCATTTAGAAAGTATAGAAGGAATGAATTAATTATTTTCATAGTAAGAAAAACATAGTCAGTGACAAGCTCTTTAACTGGGAAATTATTGTGGCATTGTCTATTAAGAAATAAGTGATTTCCAAATAAATGTTAAGTCTGATCTAAGTTAGACATTCCAATATATACATTAACTTACTATGATAAAATGTCTAGCATTTTTTTGCTAACTGATTATCTATAAGCTATTATATGCTTATATCACAAAGTATATTACAAAAACAAAACAAAATGAATTTAAGAAAAGAACTAGAAAATTCTTCAACAGCAATGTATTAGAATATTTGGACAAACTCTTCCACTAAAGAAATAAAACAGCAACAAACAAATAAATAACCCTGAATTATACACACATCATATGTTTTAAAGAATACATGANTAGTGAAGAACAGGGAAGCCTGGCAAGCTGCAGTTAGTGGGGTCACAAAGAGTCAGACATGACTTAGTAACTGAACAATAAGTTAGGAGAATAAGGAGAAATAAAATAACAACAGTAACAAACACATCAAGTTTGTAAAATTTAGTTTGTAAAATTTATGAAAGCAAAACCAGCTTAGAAATTCTAAAAAGAACTTAAATGTATAATCTACACACATTATAAGTTGATTAAAGAGCCAAATATAAATTGTATAAGTAGAAAATATTGCATTGGTCACAAAGGAATTGAATTCCAGGGAATTGAATACTTTTTTCTGAGAGAATTTTGTAAAGACCAAAATAAATGGAAATCCAAAGGTGCAGTCTTGTGAATATGGTGGATGAATCAGAACTTCCCAGAGAAGCTGTAACAGATTTTGACTGGTCAACAAAGAAATATGTGGTCTTGCATTATCCTGATGTCAGATTATGTTTTCTGTTGACTATTTATAATTTTCATTGAGTGCTGATTTTAGTTGGTCTAACAGAATAGTACTT